AATGTGTTAATTATTGAAACTGTCCTACCAATTTGATTTGAAACTGTCTCATTGCTATTTGTTTCTCAATAAAATTATGGAAAAAAATAAAAATAAAAATAAAAATTGCCATGACCAGGTAAATTAAAAAAAAAAAACAAACCGTATTTGTACTAACATTGCTTAGACAAGATATCACGTCTGCATCTTGTCCTCTGAACAACTACTATGAAGAGAACAGTGTACAATGTACTAATTACTGTACACGTCCTACTAATCTGTTCTGAAACAGTTTCATTGCCATTTTCTTTTTTTCTCATTAAAATGAATAAAATAAAATAAAATAGATGAGCACAGTGACTTATTCCTATAATACCAACTAGAGAAGGATCGGAAGTTCAAGGCCACACTAGACAATTTGGTGAGACCCTGTCTCAAAATAAAAAGACTGGAGTTTGTATACGTCAGTGATAGAGCACTAGCATGTACAAGGCACTGCATTTGAGAAAGGGTAAGGACGGGGGAAAGGGGAGGGGCCGAAAAGGGAAGGAGGAGGGGGGAAGGAAGAGATATAACATAGGAATGAAATGGCCAATAATCATTTGTATACTCAGTATCATTAGGTATAAAGAAAACAAAACCATATTGAGGAGGCCAGAGAGACAGTCCAGTAGAATAAGCACTTCTCTGGCAAGCACAAGGGTCTGAGTTCAATCACAGGTTCCACCAAAAGAAAAAAAATATATGTGTATTGAGGGGACCAGGGAAATAGCTCAGTAGAATAGGTGCTTGCCTGGCAAGGACAAAGTACTGAATTCAATCCCCAGTACCGCAAAAAAAAAAAAAAAAATTGAAATACTACTTCAAAAAAGAAAGAAAAGAAACACTACTTCGCACCCACTAAAATGACTATATAATCAAAAAAGATCACCACACAAATACTGGCAAAGACAAAATTAAGTCCTTTGACAATGCTGGGATTGGGGCTGGGGATATAGCTCAGCAGCATAAGCATCTACCTGGCAAGCACAAGGTCCTGAGTTCAATCCCTGGTACCGGAAAAAAAAAAAAAAAAAATTGTTCAGAATATAAAATGGTATAACCACTTTGGAAAACATTCGGGAACTACTTCAGAAAGTAAGAGTTACCATATGTTCCAGCAATTCCATTCCTAGTTCTATACCCAAGAGAAATGGAAGCATGTTCACAGAGGTCTTCAATAATGCTATACTTTCCACCTTTTCCCCCATGCTGATATTTTGTAACTAAAAGAAAAATCAGCTGAGTATGGTAGCATACCTCTGTACTCCCAGTATCTAGAAGGCTGAGGTAGGAGGCTCAACCATGAGCTTAAGGCCAGCCTGAGCTACAAAGTGAGTTCAAGACCAGTCTAAACTACAGAGAGGGTGGAGGAGGAGGGGAGAGGGGAGAGGGGAGAGAGAAAGAGAAGGCTGGAGGAAGGAAGGAAGGAAGGAAGGAAGGAAGGAAGGAAGGAAGAAAGGGCAGGCAGGCAGCAGGCAGGCAGATCAATCAAAGAGAATCATACCTCCATAATACAATGATTCAATAAAAAAAGTTCCCTGTATAATCATAATTTCAAAGAAAACTAATGACCTCTGCATTTCATTCATGTAGAGCTGAAAATTATTACAGTATGCTATTTAAGCTATTTAACCTCAGTAATAATTTCAGGTTTAGGAAAGGTAGGTAATATTTCTAGAAAATGTTCCCTGTTAATATGAAATTGAAAATGAAACTCCCATTATGAGCAAGGCATGCCAAATGCTATACCTTAACAGCTGCCATACCTTAACACGTTCTCAAGGAACTTCGAGCCACAGGGCAGGGACCTGGAGGATTTCAAATCCTGCACTGAATAACGCAACAGGACAGCAAAGCAATAAAACAAGCCTTCTTCATGCTAACGCGTTAAAAAAATGCATCAGTATTTTCTAAATCTCTTCCAAAAATCTGGAAGAGATTTAGAAAATACTGATGCATTTTTTAATTTTATTTTCCCCAAAATTAACTGTAAAATTATACAACATTCTAGTAATATTATTTGTATAACGTGGGTTGGTACTAAAACTGTTTTTAAAGAATTTAATCTGATGTATCTCAGTGGCAGAGTGCCCACTTACTATACGTGAGCCTGATTTAGGTACCTAGCATTCGGCGAGAGACAGACAGAAAAGAAGGCCAGCCAGCTGGACCTGGTGGTGCATGCCTGTAATCCCAGCACTTGGGAGGCTGAGGCAGGCAGGTCACCACAAGTTCAAGGTTACTATGAAGCCAGCCTGGGCTACATGGTCAGTTCAAGGCAACCCTGGATGTCATATTGAAATCATGTCTCAAAAAAAAGAGGGCCGGTGAGATAGCTCATCAGACTAAGCACCTGCTCAGGCACGCGCAGGGTCAGGGCTTGAGGCTCTGGAGCCACATGCCATGCGCACTACAAGTCCTGAGACCCTATACCAAATACATTAAAAAAGAAGAACAAAAAAATGACCGACAGCCAGGTAGGCAGGAAAAAAAGGAAGGAAGGAAGAAGGAAGGGAAGAAAAGAAGTAAAAGGAAAAAAGAAAAACTAATCATAATGTTTTTAAAACTTCAAAAATAGCTTTGTTAAAGAACATATTCCTCATGCTAAGATACTTAGAAATCAGTAGTTTATGGATTTTTACAACATCTAGTTTATTTTTCTAAAAGTT